CCTGTCCAAAAGGTACGTTGGGCAGCCACGGAGCTCCGTAATATGATCGCGTAGTCAATAACAATATAAGGCATTATTTAAACATTGAAAGTCACCTTTAATGCACACTGTATAAGGTCTTCATTAAAACGCTTACGTCAAAGAGACTTATTAGAGCAAAATTTCCTTCAAATGCGTTATATTAACAAACATTGATTAGATACTTGTCGAAAAAACGACACTTTACATACTTTTAAGTATTTTTTCGCATTTTTTCACAGAGCTCTGCGGCATGTTGACTTTTCAACGGTCCGCGCGTGACTGTAAACCAAGAAGTGCTTGAGTGGTGTTCAAGCACTTCTTGATTGGGACATATTTTGAGCTCACGTGGTGTATCTGGGGTATTTAATATCGTTGCCCGTAACAGTTCTTTTTATTAAAAAAATAGTGACAATTTATTTATTTATTCAATTTACATGTGACTTGACCTCTTGAATAACTTCATTCTACCAATACCAATAATATTATTAAGTATGAAAGTTCGTATGTTTGTTACACAATCACGCAAAAACTACTGAACGGATTTTGATGTAATTTGGCACGCATATAGTTTATGACCTGGATTGAGACATAGATTACTGTTTATCGCGGATATTTTTTCCCGCAGTAAAACTTAGCCGATGTGTTAATCCACGGTGTCAGCTAACTCCATACCAAATTTTGTTAAAATCGCTCCAGCCATTTAGACGTGAAGAAGTAACAAACATACACACTCACAAACTTTCCCCTTTATAATATTAGTGTGATAGAACACAATAATAATTCAGCACTTTTCCCACATTTTTGAGCATGCTACATTAAACACACAAGGAAAATATGAAACCACACTTAGTTGCATTTTGTTTTATGTATGCATAATAAGTAAGCAATATTTATTATTAATACATAAAACAATGAAATTATTATGTATGAATAACAATGAGTAATTTAAATAAAGCAAAACGTTGCCAACTACAAAAAATGATTACATCATCATCATCATCAGCCTATTAATGTCCCCACTGCTGCGGCAAAGGCCTTCCCTATGGATGGAATAGGGAGATTGGGCCATGACCCACCACGTGTGCCCAGTGCGGATTGGTGGGTGCCAACCACTGCAGATGCAGCCGGGACCAACGGCTTAACGTGCCTTCCGAAGCACGGAGGAGCTAGAAACAGTAATTTTTTGGTCACCCATCCAATGACCGACCACTGCGAAAGTTGCTTAACGTCAACGATCGCAGCCCAACGCGCTAACCACTTGCACCAGCGAGCTCCTCAATCAAATCAAATGATTACATAATTTTATTAGAAAACAAGGAGTTATTATAAGAAATATCAAGTATAATTCTGAAATGCATGGCATCTTTAATTTGGCATGACACAGAAACATTTTTAGTTTTGCGTTATTTTCATTACCTACTTGTATTAAGTTACATTATAAGGTTATTCATAATGTTGATTTGGCAGTTATAATTTTATGACGTACGTCCCTACATATAGAGTTTATTTTTGTAAGACAGATAACGAGGTTTGAAGAAGTGAAATAAGTATGTAGGTGCATTTATCTTAGAAACAACATGTATAATGCGATTCAAATAAGAATAGGAAAGCCAATGACCTCCATCTGTCAAATGTCGCTTGAAAAGTACGGCTTGCAAAAAAATCTTGGAACCCTTTTTTGGCACTCAGCTAATTATGGAATAAAAACCAAACATTTGTAAACAAACAATAACAAATATTGTTAATTTATATTGGTTGATGTTTTATTTTCATTTATTGAGCTTTGGCTATGAATGTTTGATAACTTAAATCGTCAACCAAATGTCACTTTAAGTTGCGTTCAGAAACTCGATTTAAAACTTTGGTTTACATATAGAATGCATGTTCGTATGTGACCTAGTAATAGTGCATGATTATTCAGAACTACTCCGGCGGTAATGCCGAGTTGAGCGGAATTGAAGAGCTTAATTCTGATTAATGTTTTTTCTCGAACAGTCTTAATAAATAAATATTATTAAAAATCGGTTATTTTCTATTCTCAATTTTAGTAAATAAATATTTAAAAATCGGATGTTTTTTCCCACTTAATCTTAGTAAATAACTTTTATTAAGTAAAAACTCTTTTGCTCACTCTACCTTTTTCGTTTGAAGTGACAGCTATGACTTCACAATATGGCGCCCCGTCGATCCTATTCTTAGTTGAATCGCATTATAAACGATCACACTGGGATATTAGTTTGACACGTAACAACATGCATAGCATTGTTGGAGGAACATGTTTTAGTTATGTATATGATAAAACCCACACCTTTGTTAGTTAGTTCATTATAATATGTTGTCAAAATATAGACTTACATTAAAGTTTGTGGTTTTGTTGACTTTCCACTTATAAAACTTTGAATTTACTAATGTTCCAATAAAATAATCCACTGTGAATGTTTTAGTCTTTCATAATATACGTTAGTAGGTGCAATAGGAATACATAAGAATATATATAATTTTTGTTCGCGGAATATATTGCCTTCTATCATATATAATTTATAATATATAAATTGAAGGCAGTGTCCCTAAATCGGCAGTAGGTCCTCGTAGCAATTAAAAAAAAACATTTCTAATTTCTAATAAAATATTATTATTTGTCACACTTATTTGAGAAAATCTTAGAGTTTAGTTAAAAACTGTAGTTGTTTTTACTAGAAAAAAATCCACGCGAACCAGGCGGCGAACGGAACTCGACCCCGCACCCTCCGCTATCCGGGCGGATGCACTGACCAGTGACCAATTATGTTACTGCGGCCCTAACGGCCGTGTCGAATTTTGTCTAGTATTTCTAAGTCTGCCTGGTCCGCATGGATATTTTTTCTAGTAAATTTTCTTTAGATTTATACATCTAGCAGATAAATCGTTAAAAAATATAAATATAACCTGTATGACAATAGTTAATCTGTATCAAAACTTATTAAATTGAACAAAGTTTGCATATTATTGTAGCTTCTATTTTTATAGTTTACGTTATAACTTTACATTAGTATCCAGTTTGTTTGGTATCTAAGACTGATAGTACATATCTGCCATATTCGGACGTGACTAGATAAGCTCGTATTACGACTAACACTAGACTATTCCTTATTAATAAGATTTGTGTTAACAGTTGTTTATTAGTTAAGTACAGTCCTGAACTTCTACTGCCATATTAAAAAAACGTAGACTGTGTGACGTGAGAAAGTTAAACGTGGACTAAAACTGATGTTGTCACTATTATTTGCTTAAAAGACGACAGAGACAGCATTAGGTTTAAACTAAGACTAACTTTAGCCCGCGTTTTGGAATGCGGGCCTATATATTCAAATCCGTAAAATTGTTTATACGTATTTTGAAATTTATTGCTCTCTCGGCTTCTATTTAGTCCGGCAGTTGGATAATCAAAAAATAATGGACCCTCATTTTTACTACTTGTCAATCAACCAAAAAATCACAATTACAATGGGCGTCCGAGTCGGTGCTTGTGACGTCACTTTTCAGTAAAAATTGTACGAAAACGTGACGTCACGCGGCATTTCAATTCAATTTACCTCTGTTATGTTATGATTATGTAAATATATATAAATATAGTTTTGTGACGCTTTGTTTCATCTTTTCTATAGGATTTTTGACCCCCTGTCCAAAAGAAGTTTCACTTTAAAAAAATGGTTGCCTGTAAAGTCGGTTTTACGGGCGAAGATTTTACGTGACAACGTCTTTTTCTCGGTAGAATATTTATTGATATGAATATAATTAAATTGCACAATAGGAACAAGGAATTGAATGAAAATAAGAATTGCACAAATTTTAACTATAGAAATATATTTTGTTTACTAAAACATTGTACATGTAAACTTAAACTCATCGTAACGTTACCGAGCGTTACACTTTTTCATAAGTGACTCCCAGCCGCAACCTAATTTAAGACGTTGTCACGTCAAAATATGTATACATCATCCCAATTATAATTTCTTCGAACACAATAAAAATAAATAAGATTGTTAGGCCAAACCTTTTTTATACCTTTTTAATATAAACACCTTGGCACCTTTTTACGTGCTTTTAAATATAAATATTTTCAACACTCACACCAATTAGCCTAGCCCCAAAGTAAGCACTGTAAGGCTTGTGTTATGGGATGCTAGGGTAACGGATAGAATACATATACTGTACATATATATGTATATTTATATAGAAATACATATTAAACATCCATGACTGGAGTACAAATGCTCGTATTCATCACACAAACATCTGCCCCCACCGGGATTCGAACCCGGGATCTCTCGAGTCGGCGACACCATGAAACCCGGCGTACAATCCGCTCGGCCACGGAGGTCGTCTCGTTAAATTTATTTATACGTCAATCTGTCTGGCTGTTTGACACTCTCTTCTCTTCTATCTACTCGTGTCATATGGCTTGTTTGTTTAATAATATCTCTCATATATATATATATATATGTCGGCGGATGGCGTCTCGCTCGCTCTTACGAAACGTAAAACCTACAACAAATGTCATCAGTCATTGTACCATTGCTTTGTGAAACGTCAAGTTATGACAGTGACAGCTGTCATCACTTGGGAGTGGTCTATGCTAAGGGTAGTATTTAACGGGGTAACGCTTCATTCGAAGGGGCATTCGGCATTCAGACGTGAGCCGCGATAGTGAACGGACGTTAGCACAGAACTCTCCGCGCTTCACAAAGCAATCCGTTTGTACCTTTGCAATCATTGCTGATTTTGTAAAATGATTAGAAGATTCAAATTAAACGTTAGCCTGGTCACTAGACTACAGTTTTATTTTCGGGAAATATCATTGAATAACCAAGATGGCGGATCAAGATGAACCACGTGGCCAACCGCCTATATCCCGCTCGCCCATCCGACATATATATATCTTGTAGTTTATCCACTATGTTTTCCTCTCGTACGTTCTAATAAAGCTTGTGTATACTCACGGACTCGAAGAGCGCGCCGTTCTTGCCGATGTTGCCGGAGGGCGTGAGGCCCAGCCCGCCGACGAGCCCGGAGCACATGTCCGACATTATGTCGCCGTACAGGTTGGGCATCACCTGAACACACGACACTACCATTTGCCAACTACCAACTTAATATGTGCCTTAAAAGACAATGAGGGCTACCGTTTTCCGCCTCACCAGATGGCGCCACTGTTGAGTGAGGTCCTAAATTGTAACTTTTAAAGTTTATTAATACGCACATGAAATCAAAGGTTACATTTAGATCGTATTTTAACACAAAAGAACCATATCCTAAACATAATAGGCCATGCCACAGTGACGCGCAGTTCCGTTTTATTCGGAAAAAATGGAAACATAATCATTTTTCTAAGCTCAAATTTTTAAATAACTGACATTGATTGCCACATAACTCATGTTTGCCATAATTAAGCCGAATTGTTACCAATTATTCACAACATTATTTTAATTAGAAATAAACCCGCGTAGTCAACCAACAAGCAATAACATTTGACATTTCGGAGACCTCACGCTACACTAGCGCCTCTAGCGACGGATTCATACGCGATAGCCCTCATTCCCTTCTATTATATCACTAAAGGGATAACCATCAACGATATTAAATACCCATTGAACGATCCACGGAGCTCCGTAAGATGATCGCGTAGTCAAAAACAATATAAGGCGATATTTAAACATTGAAAGTCACCTTTAATGGATATTTTATAAGGTCTCAATTAAAAAGCATGCGTCAAAGAGATACGACAGTTCGAAATACAAGCTCGTAAAATTTTACGACTTATTGCTATATGCGGAAGAATATAGACTTTATTTAATTGTGTCTAGGAGCAATTCTGAATGCGCTGTTAGCAAAGTAGCAGTTACGGACCGCGAGGAAAAGAGACGTATACATTACTGACCATACATTTGAATATCACAAGTATTTTATATTAAATCAGTTTATAGTAAGTATTAGAACAAAATTTGGCTTCAAATGCGTTAAATAAGCTAATGGTATCGATTCTGACATGATTCTCTAAACCTAAACTTGACAACAGTGCATCCTTGTCATTCTCTATACTGAATGAAGGGAAAGGCTGATGTTAAATTTAGTTTTAAGTTTAGAGAATCACGCCAGAATCGGTACCAATATTGATTAAATACCTGTCGAAAAAACGACACTTTAAGTACTATAAGTATTGTTTTCGTATTTTCTCACGGAGCTCGGCGGCATCTTTACTTTTCAACGGTCCGCGCGTGACTGACCCAAGAAGTGCTTGAGTGGTGTTCAAGAACTTGTTGATTGGGACACATTTTGAGCGCACGTGGTGTATCCAGGGTGTTTAATATCGTCTATAACCATACTCTGGGTACACATACAACACATCGAATACAATATAAGTTATTCTACCGGTTGATAGACTACAGCTGTACAGTACCCTTAGTACGAGTTTGAGCTCACATAAACTATCATAGTTTTCGTAACTGTAAATTATGTTTATATAAGTTATTCTACCGGTTGATAGACTACAGCTGTACAGTACCCTTAGTACGAGTTTGAGCTCACATAAACTATCATAGTTTTCGTAACTGTAAATTATGTTTCTATGTCCATTTTAGTGAAAATTAACCCAATATAATTAAAATTTACGAAGATGCAAATGATTTAATGAAAGAATTTAATTTTTATTTGTATTGCAACGAAAACAATAAAATCAGTACCCTTAGTACGAGTGCGAGCTCACGAAAACTGCCACAGTTTTCGTAATTGTAAAACTCGTACTAAGGGTACTGTTTAAAAATTTTAGCGTAACGTTTTCGTACCGAAATGTGAAATTACGTAAGTATTCATTTACAAATTTACGACAACAAAAACAATTGGCATTAATCCAACAGTGTCATTTTATTATCTGTTATGAACAACAAAAAAAGTATATCAATACTCGGAACTTTGCCAGCACGTGTTTAACCTTTAGCTGTATACATTGATATGGTGAGTGGGGTTAAAACAATGAGACCTGGGAGTCATTCTCTTTCTCCGAAACGAACTTTCGATAACGAAGTTCAAACGAAATTTAATTTCGTCAATAGGGATGATGACTATTTTTTTAAAAAAATAATCACTTCTTCACAGTACAAATGAATAGACCTCGCGGCGCAGATTTAGTTTATCTTCCGATATAATAACCAACCATAACGGTTCGATTTGTTTCAGAGTAAAAGTATTAAAGGTAACACTATTTTTAATTTGAACCTACAACAGAGAACAATTTGATGTGGTTGGTCAATCAATTCAGAGCTTCGACTATAATAAAAAAAAAAAGATTAAACCACAGTTGTTTAGTTATTTGTATAATGGAACCTTAAACTTGAAACTCTTTTTGGCCAGTCGAGTAAAGATATTCATATTTGTTTCTTAGGTTTTCACGCACATCACTCATTAAATAAAACTAGTTATTTATGACGTTTCGAATTTTTTATTAAAAAATTGATTCCGACGTCAATAAATAAATAAAGTTTCGTGCATTAACCCGTAAAAAACTAGTTTTATTAAAAGATATTCATGCTATGTCTATTACCTATTAACATTTAAACAGGTGAAGGGATTCAGGTGAATGTTGGTACATATATAGATAGTTTCGGCCCAGGGAAAGAATATAGGGATAAATTGTAGTTTTTATCCCAGAAATCATCATTTTAGGGGGTGAAAAGCGTGGATGGAAGTTTGTAGGAAAAATATATATATTTTATACGCAGACAAAGTCCACTGACATCCACTAATATTTGCATGTTTAAACTGACTGACATCCACTAATATTTGCGTGTTTCGCCCATGGAGCTCTGCGGCCCCAGGAGTATGACATACCAGCACGTCGAACTTGGAGGGGTCCTGCACCATGTTGAGGCACACGGTGTCCAGGTAGCGCTCCTCGAACCGGATGTCCGGGTACTTCGTGGCCAGCTCGCGGCAGCACCGCAGGAACAGGCCGTCCGACATACGCCTACACCCACAAACGGATAGCAAATAAATAAATATTTCCAACACTCACACCAATTAGCCTAGCCCCAAAGTAAACACAGTAAAGCTTGTGTTATGGGGATATAATGCGATTCAACTAAGAATAGGACCGACTGGGCGCCATATTTTGACGTCATAGCTGTCAATGCAAACCAAATAGGTAGAGTGAGCAAAAAAATGTTGCTATTAAATAAAACTCATTCACTAAGATTAAGTGAGACAAAACATCAGATTTTTGAATAAAAATAATTTACTAAGGTTGAGAAAGAACACAACCGATTTTTAATAGTATTTCTTTATTAAGACTGTGTGAAAAAAAACATTAATCACAATCTAGCTCTTAAATTTCGCTCATCTCTGCATTACCGCCGGAGAAGTTATTGGTTTTTATTCTAGAATCAGCTAAGTGCTAAAAAAGTGTTCTGAGATTTTTTTGCAAACCGTACTTTTCAAGCGACATTTGACAGATGGAGGTCATTGGCTTTCCTATTCTTATTTGAATCGCATTATACTAGGGTAACAGATAGAATTATTTAGACGCTTGCCTGACGGTGTTTTATCGGTTACATTTCGGAGTCTGAGGAGGTATTACATAATTTGATCCCCCCTTCCCCTTTCCACCACCGGACGACCAGGCGCGGCGAGGGCTTTCACCCTTATGTTGTCGAAGTTCCTCCCATTCGCACGAAGCGATTTGCTTCCGCTTTCATTATGCGAACGGCTAGGGAGTGGAACTCCTTGCCGAGGTCTGTTTTCCTGGACCAATATAATCTAGACATCTTCAAGACCAGAGTGAACAGGCATCTTCTAGGCAGGCGTGTACCATCCTAGGCCTCATCATCGCTTTCCATCAGGCGAGATTGTGGTCAAACGCATTGCCTATTATTTATAACAGATAGAATACATTTATTGTACATATATAGGTAGGTATTGTTATATGGAAATATATATTAAACATCTATGACTGGAGTACAAATGCTCATATTTATCACACAAACATCTGCCGCCACCGGGATTCTCGATTCGGCGACAGGACACCATTTAACCCGGCGTATTAACCACTCGGCCACGGAGGTCGTCAATATAGTAACAGTAAAACGATGAACAAACAAAATGCTATATCGGTATCATCACCGTGCTTCAGAAGTCACTTTAAGCTAAAGAAAAGTTTTACTAGAAAAATCCACGCGGACGGGACTCGAACCCGGTGCGGGTTCGCAATCCGGGCGAATGCACTGACTAATTATGCTACCACGGCCCTGATGGTGGCGTCGAAATTTTCCTAGGCTTAAGCTGCAAGGCAGCGCCATCTCTTCGCATTGTAGGTAACCCACAAAGTCAAATGAATACTTTTTCAAGTATTAATCATTTGAAACAAGAAATAGAAATTATAGTTGTGCTTTTTAGCAGTTAAATGCTTAAAAAAGATAAAAACATCACTTTAAGCTGTTACTTGATATAAGTTTTTTTTGGTATTTTTTTCACACGTTGGATTACATTATCGAAGTTTTCATGCGGATCCCTAACTTTTTTGATAACCTATGTTTTTGAAAGAATTTTTCAAATCGGAGCCAAGCAATCGAATCAACAAACAAGCATTCGAATCTTTCCTCTTTATAATATAAGTACATACATATATGTTCTATTATTCGCGCCATCTGTCCAGAAACCGAGAGTAGTCTTTCTGTACATATATATTGTAGTCATAAGTACAAAACCCTGCAGACAGGGTCAATAGTGTACAGTTAATAAGTCGATAGCAATGATAAGCAAAGCAATAACAACACATTTCAGCAAAATATCTCTTATCTAATAGACAAGTCCGTCCGTCCGTGGTGCTGTTTCAGCGGCCAAACCGTAAGAGATAGATATAGAGAATGTTTAAGTTATAAGTTAAGAATAGTCTGATAAGACTAGAAACCGGATGTGAGTAACGTAGCACTTCCGGTTTTCGAGAAATCACGTGATTTCTATTTCAAACGAAACCACACAAAATCTCCGAAGAGTTTAAAATTAGGAGCATAATTAAGACGTCGGTCATTCAAACTAATTTCACCGTTAACCTCAATTAGCATAAGGTATACATTCAAACGTTGAATTATTCATAGGTTTGACTGTCATGAATATTCATTCTTCTTTTGTGTCGACGGGTAAGTGTCGTGACAATTGTTTCAAACGATTGCTGCTCTAATAGGCAATGCAAACCACACCAACAATTACTCAAATACAAAATGGCAATGCAAGCTGCACGCACAATTAGCACCAATAAAACGCAATTTGATATATGGAGTGGAACTCATATGAGAGGAAAGCCACTGTTAACGACGCGCATATTTTCTTTGTTTATTTTATTAATTTTAATTGTTTGTAGTCAAGCTACTTATGTAGGCAGCGTGAGCGATGTGCGGCCAATATGCCTCATGGTTGAATCTAGGAAAAATATTGAGATGGGCGCTTTAGATATTTGTGAAATCGATGCGCACCGATAACAGATAAATCGCATCCGATGCGCGCATCGGTGGAAAGCAGGGCTTGCTTACCGGTTAATTTTCAAACCTAAACTACTGTCAAGTACATTAGGAGCATTTTTTTTAGGTTTGGCTCTACCTTAACCTTAAAAAACCGGTTTTGCTAAAGAGCGAAATCAAATAGGTTTTGAATCAATTTAGCGGTTTTTAAAGGGTTTCATTTCGCTCTTTCTGACGGCATCGGTAATAAATGAATAACTTGCCTCACTACACTCTAGCAAACGTGTCAATAGATGCATCAATCTCTGAGCATTAACAAGTTGTGACTTGATTAGTTCAAACAAAACAAACTTCAAGCGATGCCGACGCGTGCACGTGTCGCTCTGGATTAAACCGGTTTATTAAGGTTTTAGGTACCGCTTTCATTTCGGATGCGCTTCGAACGAAACCTTTACTAAAAACCGATCATCATCATCATCATCATCAGCCTATTAATGTCCCCACTGCTGGGGCACAGGCCTTCCCTATAGATGGAATAGGGAGATTGGGCCATGACCCACCACGCGGGCCCAGTGCGGATTGGTGGGTGCTAACGACTGCAGATGCAGCCGGGACCAACGGCTTAACGTGCCTTCCGAAGCACGGAGGAGCTCGAGATAGTAAATTTTTGGTCACCCATCCAATGACCGACCACTGCGAAAGTTGCTTAACTACAACGAACGCAGCCGAACGCGCTAACCACTTGCGCCATCGAGCTCCTCCTCGTGGAAAAACCGATATTAACCTCTATTTACCGGTATTTCCGAAACCGGTTTCAAGCCCTGGTGGAGTGAGTGTCAGTCTAGCTAGTATCGAAACATCACATGATGTATATTTTCGATTCGAAATGTAATAGAAACTATTTATTTATTTACTCTAAAAAGTTGCACAGAGTGCAGGTTTTGAACGCAGTCCAGTGCCACAAACTTTTCCGTGACGGTGGCAAAATTTTGAACTTCAATTTACCCATAACATTTTGACCTTTTCATGATATATTTGTTCACCGGTAGCGACATCTCCACCGGCACAGATAAGTTTGAGACACTGTAGTTATGGTAACGTTGACAAAAACTAGATGGCATCGGCATTCAATACCGGTACTCAGTCGCATCGGATGCGCGCATCCAAACCTGACACCGTTATCGTGCATCGTTATTCTAAAAACGCCAAACCCCTAAAAAAATGTGTTGCGAGCGAACGACAATACGAGCCTCTCGCACGGTAAGGAGTTTCCACGATTGTGTGTACCAACCTGCCAATAGGGGTGATGACGGGTTACAGTAAACGAGATTCTATTTAGTCCGTCAGTTAGATGATCAAAAAATAATGTTCACGTATTTTTTCTTTGGGCAATCAACCAAAAGATGACAAAGTTATAGCGCGTCAAAGTTTGGGAGTAGGGGCTCGTGACGTCATGCGACTTTTCAAAGCGATATATCTCTGCAATGTTTATATTATGTGAAAAAATAAAAAATACGTGTCCAATACTTTTTGATAATCTACCTGATAAACGAAGAAAAATCCCTATTTTATTTAAAAATATAATTTAGTTGTTTTCCAAAATTTCCGACCTTTTATTTACTGCGTAGTCTTTAGCCACTTTTGTAGTATTAATAAGAGTATTTATTTACTTATCAATCCGCGACCTTGCGAATTTAAATTGCATGTCAATGTACGATTACGTTAAAATCACTCAACCCTGACGATAAACGTATTTATACCTATAGATTTACTTTTTGGCGGAGCAAATATCTGTCCACCCCAGCTGATGCTGAGAAGTTCTCGCTGCGTTCATTTTGCCTAATGTCACAATTACATTTGGCCGTTAACGACAGACATAACTCGAATTCGGGCAACCGAAGTAATATTTACACTGGAGTACGGGCCGAAGACGGTGTCGGATAAACAAAAGGAAATCTGATATCGACTTAGTTCATTTGCACTCTCAATGGTCGGTTATCGGTGTCCAAAAATTAACTATTTCCAATCATCTGTGCTTCGGAAGGCACGTTAAGCCATTGGTCCCGGCAGAATCTGCAGTCGTTAACACCCACCAAGAGTACCCGCATGATCTAATCTCCTATTCCATCCATAGGTAAGGCTTGAGCCCCAGCAGTGGGGGGTGGGTCCCCTATCCCCATACAAGCAATGGTTTTCATTTTTTATAATATAGACTGAAAACCCTATATCCAACGCTCTTATATACAATTTGACCTCCCCTTTATAACCCAGAAATGGAATTAAGCCCCCAAAGTGGCTACTAATATTATTCTTATTTAATTCGTGAATCTACCAATGTTAGGGGAGGGGGCCAGTAGCCTAACGGGATGGCTATGGCTATCGCTATCGCTTCTTCAGAAACAAACTCATTTTTTTCTTTTGTATTGGTAACAACAATATTAACGAAAATGAGCGAGCAATGTTTTTGGATCCCTTCGGCGGTCAGAAATAACAAAATGAATTCGTAAGCGATAGCGACAGCCATAGCTATTCCGTTAGGCGATTGACCCCCGGAAAGTACCATCTGTATCAGGGGTATTAATAGGCTAAAAATGAAGGTTTTATAACATACATGATGTTAGCCTTGTGTACAGCGGTGACCTTCTTCCTCTTGTTGTCTCTGGCGAACTGGAAGGCGAACTCCGCCACTCGCTTGCTGGCCTCCTCGGTGATCAGCTTGATGGACTGCACCACGCCGTCGACGATCTCGTGCTCTATGCCCGAGTACTCGCCCTCCGTGTTCTCTCTGATCGTCACCACGTCCACGTTGTCGTATAGGGTTTTGATACTGTGGGGGAAAATGGAGAAACTTCATTGTGACATCACGTATTTGAAAGTCAAGCACCCTTAGCACGAACCAATATCGAATTCGTTGCGATTGCGATTCCGAAATGTTGAACTTGAACAGCAGCGCCACAACGGACGTGACGAGAACTAAAAATCAGTACAAGTTTGACGTATATCTAGATCGAGTTCAACTATTCAAATACGATAATGGTTCGTGCTAAGGGTACAGTACCTTAAGCACGAACCATTATCGAATTGGAACAGTTGAATTCTGCGATCAACAATTAAATAGATAACGGGTTTGCATACAAAATCAAAGCTGAAAACTGTCCGCGTATGTTTAAACTAGACTTGCAACGAATACCTATTCGGTTTCTATTCGGTATTCGGGTTTTATTATATTCGGCCGAATACCGAATATCTACATATTATTCGGCCGAATACCGAATACTTAAATAATATGTTTTGTCATAGAGAAATAATGGTAAAATGAAAAATTAAAATCTATTGATTACGTTTATATTCATATTTTTATTTCTGTTATATAATCATTTAAGTAGTCATTGGTACATAACACAGGTACATAATCATCTTCTGAATTGGAAAAATGGAGGATTCTATGTATTTGAATTATTGTGGTAATCAAAAGGGTAAGGTTCTCATTTCTTTTATAATAATTTATTAAGTAGTCATTGGTACATAAAACAGGTACATAATTTAATCATTTTCTGTATTAAACAAGTTAACAGTTTTTAATTCATTCAGTTATGTGATGAATGGTTACATAATAGCAATAATTTAAAGTTTACGCGCCGTTTTTGGCCATATCTCAAAAGTTGTTTTTGTCCTTTAGCCGCATTTTAGCTTGAGGACGGCAGATTAGAACAAAACAAAGGAGCGCGAAACAATCACGTCTGTACAAGTTTTTGGCGCTTAAATCCAGCCGAATACTTTTGCCTAATATTCGGCTATTCGGTCAGGGGCCTCAGCGAGTATTCGGTATACTGCCGAATATACTATTCGTTGCAAGTCTAGTTTAAACTTATGCAGCTACATTCGATTCCCAATGAACAAAGATAAATGTTTTGAAACAGTTTAAGTTGATCCTAATAACAACTATCTCACAAACGAATAAGGTTACAAATAACAAAATGTTATTTCGCACATAAGACCTTTTATCTTATAAAACGAACTTTAGTTCCTTTTAATAAATTATATCAGATACTTGGAAAAAAACGATAAAGGTGAAAAAAGGAAAATTTAAAATCAACCTTATTATGACCCACGAAATAAAATAATTGTACCAGTCATTGGCCAGCGAGTTTCTTCGTTTTGTAATAACCGAACTAATTGAAAATAAGATCTCACGCTTCAAGTGAGGCTATATTTACCGAGACGGATTTTACGCGTTGACCCGTCATCTATAGAATTGCTGATCGAAGGTTCAATTCGATCTGTACCCTTAGTACGAGTTTGAGCTCACGAAAACTATCATAGTTTTCGTAATTGTAAATTATGTTTCTATGTCCATTTTGGTGAAAAGTATTCAAATATTCTTAAAATTTAAGAAGACGCAAACGATTTAATGATAGAATTTAAACACTGTTTATTTGTATTGAAACGAAAACAATAAAATCAGTACCCTTAGTACGAGTGCGAGCTCACGAAAACTATCATAGTTTTCGTAATTGTAAAACTCGTACTAAGAGTACTGGATACCCGTCTACTCGTCATTATGTCATTTTAAATAAATAAATATTTCCAACACTCACACCAATTAGCCTAGCCCCAAAGTAAGCACTGTAAGGCTTGTGTTATGGGATACTAGGGTAACGGATAGAATACATATATAAGTATATTTTATTTAACACCCACGACTGGAGTACAAATGCTCGTATTCATCACACAAACATCTGCCCCCACCGGGATTCGAACCCGGGACCTCTCGAGTCGGCTACACCATGAAAGCCGGCGTATAAATCACTCGGCCACGGGGGTCGTCAGCAATCAATTTCAATTTTAGAAGCAATCATTGCTAAAAGTGGCATTGAAATAATGTTTATGCGTTTATCTATCTCTCGTGGTGATCTTGACACCCTGATAACCTTATACATATATTTGTTTTGGACGTTAAGAATATACGTTACGTATATATTTAAACTCATTACAATAATTATATTAGCTGATAGTGCTTAACACTGCTTAATTGATAAATAAGTCTCGTGAAGGCGCGAAAGTCTGTATTTTATATGTTGTACTTGGTAGCTATGCTATGATGTAATGGAAGGTGACTTCAGACGTATCGCTGAAGTCATTTTTTCAACTTGACGACTCTGTATATAAGAATCATCGTCAGCCTTTTAATGTCCCCACTGCTGGGGCACAGGCCTTCCCTATGGATGGAATAGGGAGATTGGGCCATGGCCCACCACGCGTACCCAGTGCGGATTGGTGGATGCTAACGACTGCAGATGCAGCCGTGTCCAACAGCTTAACGTGCCTTCCGAAGAACGGAGGAGCTCGAGATAGTAATTTTTGCTCACCCATCCAATGACCGACCACTGCGAAAGTTGCTTAAGTTCAACGATCGCAGCCGAATGCGCTAACCACTTGCGCCATCGAGCTCCTTAATAACTGTATATAAAAATACAGGGAGAAAAAAACAGCCCTAGCTGAGTTTATTGCCGGATCTTCTCAGTATAAGGTCCCAAGGGTTCACAACAGTGGCGTAGCTTAGTGGGAGCGGCACTTCTTAGGGGGCGGCAAAATTTTACAATAAATAATAAAAATATTTCAACCATTTAAATAAGAGGGCAGCAAAATTGTCCTCCGGGCGGCCGACACCCTCGCTACGCCGCTGGTTCACAAGTGCTTGTAACAGCCTACACTGAATAAATGGTTTTTGATTTTGATTATGATTCAATGCATGAGAAGTTGCAAGAGTAGATTTTTCGGGTAGAAAGCTATGTCCACTTAATTCGAAACAGTAACTAAACAGCACCATCATAAGTGCGATTATTTCTGTTTACTTTTTACCTCATAAATAATAATATATAAATATTTCCAACACTCACACCAATGAGGGCTATCGCGTATGAATCCGCCGCTAGAGGCGCTAGTGTAGCGTGAGGTCTCCGAAATGTCAAATGTTATTGCTTGTTGGTTGTCTACGCGGGTTTATTTCTTATTAAAATAATGTTGTGAATAATTGGTAACAATTCGGCTTAATTATGGCAAATATGAGTTATGTGGCAATGAATGTCAGTTATTTAAAAATTTGAGCTTAGAAAAATGATTATGTTTCCATTTTTTCCGAATAAAACGGAACTGGGCGTCACTGTGGCATAGCCTATTATGTTTAGGATATGGTTCTTTTGTGTTAAAATACGATCTAAATGTAACCTTTGATTTCATGTGCGTATTAATAAACTTTAAAAGTTACAATTTAGGACCTCACTCAACAGTGGCGCAATCTGGTGAGGCAGAAAACGGTAGCCCTCATTAGCCTAGCTCCAAAGTAAGCACTGTAAGGCTTGTATTACGGGATGCTAGGGTAACGGATAGAATACATATACAGTACATATATAAGTTTACTTATATGTATAGAAATACATATTAAACATCCATGACTAGAGTACAAATGCTCGTATTCAACACACAAACATCTGCCCCCACCGGGATTCGAACGCGGGACTTCTCGAGTTGGCGACACCATGAAACCCGGCGTACAAGCCACTCGACCACGGAGGTCGTCATAATATTGCAACTTACTGATTTCCCTTGATAATTCTTTACATATAATCAAAATGGTAGGAAAGTCAAAACTGTACATTGAATATTTTTTTAACAGAATACTTGGGGTAATATCTACAATCTATACCGAAGCCAAAAATACAGTTTTTAGAATTTTTGTCTGTTTGTCTGTATGTATGTCCGGGATAAACTCTTAAAGTACTGCATCGATTTACTTAAAATTTAGCACGAATATTATTAAGAAGTCGGGTCAACATATAGGCTACATATTATCACGCTATCACCTACGGGGAACGAGCAGTGAACATTTATTTCTAATTAACTCCACGCGTACGAAGTCGCGGGCGGCCACTAGTAAATATTGATAAAAATGTATGAAGGGATTAAGCAAGATACATTATATGTCGAGTGGAATTACATATCAGATAATGTTAATCAATAACTTGTCACTTTGGTATTCGGAAAATTGATTTAGTTATTTTTTAAGCATTTAACTGCTCGATGTTTAAATATAAAGAAAAAATTACTAAAACAAACACGCGGACCAGGGGGCCAATCGCCTAACGGAAATGCTTTGGGAAACAATAACGCTTACGATTTCATTTTGTTATTTCTAGCCGCCTGAGGTTTTGAAATGCTTCGCGCTCTCCCTTTTTTTCTTTTGCATTGGTAATAACAATATTAAAAAAAATGAGCGTGAGGTATTTGAAAACCTTCGGCGGTCAGAAATAACAAAATAAAATCGAAAGCGTTAGCGATTTCCAAAGCATTTCCGTTAGGCGAATGGCCCCCGGGCAGCAGACGGGACTGGAAGCCGCACCCTATGCTATCCGGGCGAATGCACTGACTAACCGCGGCCCTGAAGACAGTGTCAAAATTGATTTAAGTTTATAGACGACCTCCGTGGCCGAGTGGTTTGTACGCCAGGTTTCATGGTGTCGCCGACTCGAGAGGTCCCGGGTTCAAATCCCGATGGGGGCAGATGTTTGTGTGATGAATACGAGCATTTGTTTGTACTCCAGTCATGGATGTTTAATATGTATTTCTATATAAATATACTTATATATGTACTGTATATGTATTCTATCCGTTACTCTAGCATCCCATAATACAAGCCTTACAGTGCTTACTTTGGGGCTAGGCTAATTGGTGTGAGTGTTGGAAATATTTATTTATTTATAATTATTTATTTAAATACGACTCGAGATTCGAAACTTAACGCTACTAATTTCCCATGTATAGTGGGAA